GGGAGGGGGCTTTGCAGTCCCTATGCCTCACAACGCCTACTGAGGAGGCTGTGTACTGCTTTTACAGCAACGACTCGGATGAGGAGCTGTCCACAGCGGCGGGGGCGACACCCTCCCAGTGGGCATCTGCTACTTCCCAGACAGTGAAGAGGGAGCGCCTGGCTGGCAGGAAGAAGGCACAGGCTGTGCCCAAGGCCACAATGTCCACCCGGGCCCAGCCCAGCCTCATTGCTGATGAGACACCACCATGCTACTCCCTAAGCTCCTCCACCAGCTCCCTCAGTGAGCCTGAGCCTGAGGCCGGCAAGATCCGAGCCCATGAGCCAGTGGTCACCAAGGACCGGGGCCCTGGCGGTGGGAATGATGGCTATCCCAATTCTCGGGCCAAGGTGGAGATGCTAAGGCGCTGCATTGGCTCAGCCATGCCCAGGCGCTGCCCACAGGTGTCAGATCCAAGACGTCGCAAGCCCCGAGATTCCCGGCTGGACAAGCAATCAGAGGGGCCGTCGGAGCATGGCGAGGAGGCAGCAGGGTCAGACCATGCTTCAGATCTGGACAGCGTCGAGTGGCGTGCCATCCAGGAGGGCGCCAACTCCATTGTGACCTGGCTGCACCAGGCCGCGGCAGCAGCCACTCAGGAGGCTTCATCTGAGTCTGACTCTATCTTGTCCTTTGGTTCAGGGTTGTCAGTGGGCTCCACCCTACAGCCCTCTCTGCACAGGAAAGGGCGGCCGACACGAGCAAAGGGGCAGGCGAGCAGTGCCACCCGGCCAGAGAAACGGGATGTGACCCTGGCCCAGCGCAGTAGCAGCCCCTGCTTGCCCATTGGCTCAGAGAAGCTGCGCGGTGCTCAGAAGACCACACCTGGGATGCCAGCCATGCTTCGAGGAAGAACAGTGATCTACATGCCCAGCCCGGCCACCCGATCTCAGCCCAAAGGCACCCCTGGCCCCCGCACCACACCAAGGAAGATGGGACCCCTGAGCCCCACACAGCCAGCAGCTCCCACCAAAGCCCTGGGCCCTGGGCAGCAGCGGTCTCGAAGCCTGCACAGGCCTGGCAAGATCTCAGAGCTTGCAGCCCTGAGCCCCCTCCAGAGGAGTGCCACGCCACCGGCCCGCCTCACTAAGACCCCCTCATCCAGCTCCTCCCAGACCTCCCCTGCCTCTCAGCCCCTGCCCAGGAGGTCACTCCCGGCTGCCCATGTTTCGGGGCCCCTGCCCAGCCCTGGGGCCTCACTGGTGTCCAAGACACCCATGCGGGCCCTGCTGGCCAAGCAGCACAAGACACAGAAGTCACCTGTGCGGATCCCCTTCATGCAGAAGCCCACCAAGCGGGTGCCACCATCCCTGGCCAGGGCAGCCCCAGAGCCAGGCTCCAGGGGTCGGGTGGGATCCAAGGGGTGCCCAAGTGCCCGAGGAGGCCGCCTGGGCCTGGTGCGCATGGCCTCAGCCCAGTCCAGTGGCAGCGAGTCCTCCAACCGCTTGGGTTTCCAGCGGCAGCTGACCTTTATCAAGGAATCACCAGGCCTGTTGCACCGACGTCGTCTGGAACTGTCCACGGCCAAAGCCACCCCCTCCACCTCCCAGGGCGGCTCACCCCGCCGCAGCGGGCCTACACTGCCCACCGTCTTCCTCTGTTCCTCCCGTTGCAAGGAGCTGCGGGCATCCTCCCCGCAGGCCCTGATTCCCCAGCAGCCCCCCACAGCTCGGTCAGGCCCTGGTGAGCGGCCACCAAGGCGCACTAGCTCAGAGAGCCCATCCCGTCTGCCCATCCGCAAGCAGGCCACCCAGCCTGAGGCAGTCAAGCGCTATGCCTCTCTTCCCCATATCAGCATGGCCCAAAAGCCAGAGGGTGCTGCCCCTAGTCCCGCATCTGACCCTGCCCGCCGCAGCAGCGATGGAGAGGCCCGGCCCCTACCCAGGGTGGCCTCACTGTGCACCACTTGGCGTCGCATCCGGGATGAGGATGTGCCACATATCCTGCGGAGCACATTGCCCTCTACCGCCCTGCCGCTCATGGACACCTCATCAGAGGAGTGCCCAGGCAGTCCCCTGCAGCGCAAGACCAGCGATGCAGTGGTCCAGACAGAGGATTTCGCGGCCACCAAGACCAACTCCAGCACATCCCCAAGCTTGGAGAGCAGGGGGCCTCCCCAGGCCCTGGACAGCGGACCTACATCCCTTCTCGGCAGCGACGTGGATAAGCCTGGTCCTGCCAAGGCACCCACCTCAGCCCCCTTCATCCATGAGGGCCTAGGAGTGGCTGTGGGAGGCTTTGCTGCCAGCCGGCATGGCTCCCCCAGTCGCTCAGCCCGAGTGCCCCCCTTCAACTATGTGCCCAGCCCCATGGTAGTGGCCACCACCACTGACTCAGCTGTGGAGAAAGCCCCTGCGCCCGCTGAACTCCTAGAATAGTTGCCTGGACTGGTTTTCTGGAACATCCTCTCTGGCCAAGAGCTATGGTTGTCCTGAGGGTGGTCCCGGGAACTGCCTACTCACCCGAGTCCCTGCCCTCAGAGCCCCACCCCAGCCCATGTTGGCCTCACATCTCATGCTTGCTTCTGTGCTGTGGGGACTAGAGAAGGAATTGGGTTGCACGCTGGACCTCAAGTCCCAGCCTTGCCCACATGCAGAGACCACCCTCCTGACCCCCAGCCCAATTGCGCTTAAGCCTCAGCAGGACACTCTTCTCTGTGGAACCAAGGGAGATTACAGCATCCACCTGAGGTGAGGGACAAGGCTTCAGAGGGTGGTGCCATCCAGCACAGGCCCGAGGCATCCATCAGAGGACAAAGCTCATTATTACCGGGGCAGCTGGGTAATTTTTAATGATGACTGCTGAACTGAGGAAGGGGTATAGCTGAGCCTGACAGAGACAGGCCCCTCCATTTTAGGTGCCATGCCAGGGGCTAATGGACATGGGGGGACACTGTCAGAACAGCCTGGAAGGAGCAAGGAGAGAAGGGCAAAGGCAGATAGCTGGGTGATGCGGGACCACCCCATGTCCCGCCTCCTGGCTGGGGTGGGTGCTGGTTTTGACCAAAGGAGGAAAAGGGGGACTAGGGAGGTAGGTGGAGGGAGTCAGGAACAACTGGCGGGTGAGGTGCAGTGGAAAGGAGGATGAGAGTCAGCCAAATATGGTTCACCTTGGTGACACACAAAGCCCAGGATCTACAGGACGGCACAGCTGCAGGGACTGGGGTGGGGCTGACGCCTGGCCTAGGAGGAGGTGCAGGGCCTAGAGCCCCAGTACTGTGGCCAGACCAGCTAGATATGTAGAGGCCATGGCTGCTGGGGTGCTCAAGTGTTGGTGTCAGTGAGGCAGAGATCAAGGGGCACAAGGAGCCTGGTGGGCCTCTGTGGCCCCTGCCAGTGTGTACATATGCGGGGGAAACTGCTGAGGTCCCTGCTCGGCTTCCTGCAGATACAGCCAATGACCTCTTTCCTGGGGAAGCTTGGCTTTGAGAAGTAACTGCTCTCGGGCTCATAGATTTGCCACAGTGCAGATGAGAGCCGCCCCAGAGGTGATGGGGAGCAGATGCTGTTTGCGGAGACTGGCATCATGATGACTAGATTTTAGGTCCCTTCTCTGGGAGGTTGGTTGGAGGTGCAGAAGGAGCTCCTGTCCCTGCCCATGGCACCACTGTCCCTCCCTATCCCCTGTCCATGGAAAGAGCTGACCCAAGAGCAGAAGTGTTTACTGGACCATCCTCAGTTCCCCGTGGGGCTCTTGGGGGCCACACTGATCCAACTTCCACAGACACCGTGTTACTTCTGCTAACGCATCTGTGTCATGTTGCATTATAAGCCCTGGAACACCCTGTCCACCAGGACAATTGCCAGAGCTCTGCCTCAGAAGGCCACAGGCACGATGCAGGAATAGCTGGATGCACCAAGTACTCCTTTTATGACCAAACTTCTAGGACGAGCTGGCACACAGAGGACCATGGCAATGAGGGCTGGGCAGTATGTTGCATGAGCCCATAGCTGACCCCTTAGGACACCCTGGGGGAAGGGAGGATATTTCAGATGCATCTCAGAAACCAGGACTCCTTGTCCCCATCCTTGACCTGAAGTGGCAGAACTGGGTGATCTCAACTCCTTTTTAAGCAGGGGCTGTGAGATGTCTGCTCTCACACTCACCATGGGCCAGCTACCTCCCAAAATGGCCTGGTGGGAGGAGAAGCCATGCAGACTCACACACAGCTTGCCCAGCCATAGGGAATCTGAAGAGATGGGTACTGGGGGTGGAAGCACCCATGCACTGTGAGACCCTGGGTGGTGCTCTCAACATTCTGTCTCAGTTTTACCACATGGGCCATGAGGAGAACTCCCAGAGCTACCTCTAGAGCCAGAGTGGCTGCTGTGACTTGATGGGAGGCCCAGACCTCCCTGGCTGCCCCCTCCGCCTGCCCCTTGTCTTCAGAAGGGGGCAGCTTTCACCTCGGCCAGCACACCAGGAGTCATGCCCCATCTATGTCCAGCAGCCACATTTGCCTTCTCTGTTCCCGTGATAGAGGCATAGCCACACCTCACAACTGCGCAGGGCAGGACAGTGGGAGCCCTGGGCCCTGAGCAGAGTGGTGGTCACTGGACAGTTGATTCTAGGCCTAAGCTGGAGGATATCTCCCATGAAGCCTTGATCCCCTCAGGGCTGCTCAGCCACCTGACAATGCTGAGGGGACCCTGTTTGCCTCCAGAGCACCCTCAGCCCAAGACCTTGAGCAGCCACCACCAGCTGGATGTTGAATTGGGAACATGCCTGCAGGTGCAGCATTACCTCACTCCCTCTGCCCCAGTCTGTCACCTGGCCAGTGGCCATAGCGTCCCAGCCAGAGCCTCGTTGTTTTGGTCCATCTATCTCTGTCCCCCTCCAGTCTATGCCCCGGGTCCCTGCAGTGTTACAAGATGTGTAAATACATATAGCCCAGTTTCCCCTCTCCCACCCCCGTCAACCTAAAGCCATCGTCTGGTGGAAGGACGGCACAGAACCAGGCATCTTATGTGCACCTTTAATAAATGGAGCTGTTGAATCTTGCTCTCCACAGCTATTTTCAAGTGGGTGAGGACTGGGTGGGTGGGGCTGGAGTACTTTGTGGGTTTTCCATCCAGAGTGCCCGCCCTGGGTCCATGTGCTAGAGGCAGATCAGGCTGTGGGATTTGTGCAAGAAGAGCACTCAGGACTGGCGGATGCATAGAAGGTAGCTGAAGTGTCTCACCGTGATCCTGGCATGAGGGAGGGCTCTGGAGCCCCTAGACTCAGACTCAGGTGACCCAACCTGAAGGCCAGGGACATGCAGGGAGGGGTGACCTCCCAGCCCAGGGCAGCAGGACACTTTGAGACATTAGGAGGTAGGCCGTGGGGATTTCATCTGAGGGACTTGTTGGGGATACCCATGACGGCTTGGTCTGCCAGGACGGAGGTGGCCGGATGAGGGCTCCAAGCAAGTAATAACTGACCAGCCTGTCCTATCTTGGGAGCCCAGGCTAGGCCAGCATCCACAGCCAACAGGTTGGTCCTGCATCCCAACCATGAACCGGTCACACAAGTGCTACCCTAGGGGAAAGCCCATGCCTTAGATTGAGGTGCTCAGCGCCACTGGAGGCCCCATCTCAGAGCTGGGCCCTACTGGGCAATCTCTCCTCACATGGCCACAGCCACCAAAGTGAGAAAGGACAGAACTCCCATTGTCTTCTGGAACCTCTGGGGGCCCCACAGTTCATACAGAGACAGGCTCAGTTTAATGGGTGATCAGTGAGCAGGGTTACCAAAAGAAGGAAAGGGAGGATGGGTCCTGAGGCCCCAAACCAAGTCCAGGCTGACGGCAATCAGGCCCCAGAAGAGAAGCCTGGGGGTGAGTGGCATCCACAAAGCCTGGCCTGACCCTCGGTAATGGGCCTGTGCCCGGCTGAGGCAGGTGTGCCCCTCACTCTCCACTGGTCCTGCTGCAACCACACACCGGCAGGCTCTGTCCCCTGGGGTCTCCGGATACCAAGGCAGGCTTAGCCATGAAACAGAGAGCCCAGAATCTGCTTCTGGGACCCAGGGGCCCATGTCGATGTGACAGGAGGCCATGGGGTGCACTATCCAGGGACTGCATGCTCAGGCGAGCCCAAGGATCAGTTCAGCCTGAGAAGGTGGTTGAGGCCCCTGACAGTGCCACCTGCTTCACCTGGACGACGTCCTGCTCCAGCTCCTGGCCAGCTTGCCAAAGGTCCTCACACCTTTGTCTTAGCTCATCACCTGCTTGTCTCAGCCGCTGGTTGGTGGCCACATAGGCCCGGCTCTGCTGGTAGAGCTGCTCCCGCTGGGCCTCAGGATTCTCAGCCCTCCGGGAGGAGCCTGGGGAGTCTGGGGACAGAACACAGACCACTGCTCAGAGAGGGGGCTGAGAGAAGCTTCAATATACCACCCCTCTGGCAAATTTACCCCCCTTCTGGTCACGGAAGAGGCCCTGCCTGGGGGTGGGTACCATTCCTGTGAAAGGCACTGACCCCACAATGGAACCGCTGAGCAGGCTAGCCCTCATTCCTATTCTTAAAGCCTCAGATGCAACCTCCTGCTCCCAGAAAAACTATCCCATGGCCCTGTAATCTTGCAAAATCTGACACTTACAGTCAGGAGGCCATAACAACAGGAGGGTGTGGACACAAGTCTCCAGATGACCCCACTTCCTAACAGTGTGCCCAGCCGAAGGAGGTGGGGTGGAGGGGGATTGAGGGAGCAGGGCAGAAAAAGCACAGCTTCAGCGTCACCCAGAGACATATCCGGGTCCTCTCCCCTCTGCCTGGGCCCGTTTGAATGGGAACAATGCCACCTGCCATGCTTGGTGGCTGTCTGCTGTCACACCCCTGCAGGCCAAATGTCTAGCACAGACCCTACAAACTCTGGTATTTATTAATCACTTTTTCCCCACCTGCTTTAGAAATAAGGTGGAAATGCCAGACAGTGCACGTAAAGATTAAGTGTGGTCCTAATAAAAACACGGTCCTGCAGGGGAAGCACCTCTCCATTGAGTGGCCCCAGCACTGCTTGTGCCTCAGTTTCCCCACTCTACAAATGCTGGCGGACCTGTCCGTGATTCTTTTTTTTTTTTTTTCCTAACAGTGTGCCCAGCCGAAGGAGGTGGGGTGGAGGGGGATTGAGGGAGCAGGGCAGAAAAAGCACAGCTTCAGCGTCACCCAGAGACATATCCGGGTCCTCTCCCCTCTGCCTGGGCCCGTTTGAATGGGAACAATGCCACCTGCCATGCTTGGTGGCTGTCTGCTGTCGCACCCCTGCAGGCCAAATGTCTAGCACAGACCCTACAAACTCTGGTATTTATTAATCACTTTTTCCCCACCTGCTTTAGAAATAAGGTGGAAATGCCAGACAGTGCACGTAAAGATTAAGTGTGGTCCTAATAAAAACACGGTCCTGCAGGGGAAGCACCTCTCCATTGAGTGGCCCCAGCACTGCTTGTGCCTCAGTTTCCCCACTCTACAAATGCTGGCGGACCTGTCATGATTTTTTTTTTTTATCTTTTTTGTTGAAAATATTACAGATGTCCCCTTTTATGCCAATAATTCTTAAGCTGGGGCTCAAGAAACCTCAGATGACCCAGGCTGGAGATAAATCTGGCTTATTTTCCTAGGACTGCCCATTCAACAGAACATTCCTGGTGATGGGAAAGTCCTCCATCTGAGCTGCCCAATATAGCAGCAGCCACAAATGCCTCTTGGGCACTTGAAATGTGGCTACATGGAACAAAGAACTGAAATTTTTTTATTATTATTTAATTTTTAAAAATGGTTCCCATAGCGTTTCTCACTTCATATTGCCCACAAGATCCGTGTGTACTATCTTGGTCCTAATGGCCTGAGGGAAGGCACTGTCATCTCTTTTGTTCACCTGTTCAGCCCAATGCTTAATTAGAACAGAACCTGGCACGTGAGTTCTTATTTTTGTTTGTTTTATTTTTGCTTTTTTATTGTTTTTTTTTGTTAATCCTCATCTGAGGATATTTGTTTAAAATAAATTTAGCTCCTTTCTTTTTAAAAAAAAAATATTTTATTGATTTGAGAGAGAGGAAGGGAGAGGAAAAGAGAGACAGAAACATCAATGATGAGAGACAATCATTGATTGGCTCCCTCCTGCAGGCCTCACCCTGGGGATCGAGCCCGCAACCTGGGCATGTGCCCTGACTGGGAATCAAACTGGTGACCTCTTGGTTCCTGGGTCAACGCTCAACCTCTGAGCCACACCCGGCTGGTCGAGGATTTTTTAGAGAGAGTGGAAGGGAGGTGAGGGGGAGACAGGGGAGAGAGACAGAAACATTGATGTGAGAGAGACACATCGATTGGTTTCCTCCTGCACGCACCCCGACTGGGGCTGGGGATTGAACCTGCAACCAAGGTACGTGGCCTTAACTCGGAATCGAACCTAAGACCCTTTGGTGCACGGGCTGAAGCTCTAACCACTGGAATACACTGGCCAGGGCCATAATAGGTTTTTAATGAAGGTTTGTTGAATGAATAGGCAAACTTAATGGACCAGTACACAATTCATCCAACAACTGTAGGCCAAAGCCATTAGTCACTGACCTGCTATAATCTCCACAAGGGACTGATCAACTTTTCCCACAAATACATAGTTTTGGCTTTGCAGAGCCAGTCAGTCTGTCCTGACTACTCAGCTCTGCCATTATGTCCTGAAAGCAGCCACGTTTGGACATCCACAAACAGGCATGGCTGTGCATCAACACAACTTTATCGACACAAATCTGAACTTCGTACCATTTACACTTATCACAAAATAATCTCTTAAAAAGCGTAAGCGCCAATCTTAGCTTCCTGGCCTTACCAGAACAGGCGGTGGGCAGGATCTGGCTGCGGACCCAGGCCTGATACACCCTTCTGAAGACGCCCCACTTTACAATGAGAAGAGAGGGCTCCAGAGGGTAAGAATCATGCCAGTCTCTGCTCTAAATCCCACGGTTTCGCCCTAGCCGGTGTTGCTCAGTGGATAGAGCATCGGCCTGCGGACTGAAGAGTCTTGGGTTCGATTCGGGCACATGCCCGGGTTGCTGGTTCGATCCCCAGTTGGGGGTGTGCAGGAGGCAGCCGATCGGTGGTTCTCTCATCATCTCTATCTCTCTCCCTCTCCCTTACTCTCTGAAATCAATAGAAATATATTTTTTAAAAAATAAAAATAAATTCCACGGTTTCAACGGACCTCCTACACCCACCCTCCCACCCGCCGCGCATCTGGGCTCCCCCTACCTTCCGGGGCCAGGGCAGTGAAGACTGGGTCCTCGGCGCGGGCGCCCCGCACGTCCTCCAGGATCTGCTCCGTCGTGGGGGGCGCCGGGCGAGTGGGCAGCACCACGCGCTTCTTGGCCTTCGAGCCCATCCCTGCAGGCGAGAGAACGGAGCGTCACGAGGGCATCCACCTCCCGGCCTTTGCCCCTAGGCTGTTCCAACTGTCCGGCGAGGACCTACCTACACACTCGTCCGGCCCCGCCCCTCCTGGATCGCCCCGCCCCTTCAGTGTCTAGCTCCACCTCTGCCTCAGTTTCCCTGCTGAAACAGTGCCTACCTCTCCTCACCTGGGCACGCACCGGAGCTGAGAGCGGCTCAGAACAGACAGTTCTGCTTCCGGTCGGAGTGTGGCCCCGCCCTCCAAGTCCTGAGGCGAACTTCCGGTCTCCTCCTCCTCCGGCCCCCCCGCTCGTCATGAGGTCACGCCCCCTCTTAAAGAGGCCGCGCCCGCGAGCGACCTGGTGTGATCCGAAAGGAGCTGTAGCTGGACCAAAATCCGACAAAACGCGACCTCAACCTCTCCGGACTGGAAACTCAAGGGGTGGGTGTGGGGTCCAATCCCGGCTTCTCTCCTTGCATAACAAAGCGTCCGAGGCCCAGTTTTCTGCAAAAGGGGGACACAACCCCCAACCCACGTGGCTGTCCTGAGAACAAAGTTCCTATCCACACAAGGAGGCCCTGCGCACAGAGGCCTTCAGTGAATGCTAGCTATGCCAATTACCAGCGAGGTGGCCAGGGACACAGGACATACGCCAGCAACTCGCCTGCTGGATCTGGGTCCAGGTCTCCACTCTGATCTCTAAAACCCCCTCCTCTATGGGTGGTGCTGGATCCGCTAGAATAGACAGGCTCAGAGCATAGGGCGATTTTTGTATTTTTTTAAACAGCTTTATTGAATGTAAATTACATGCCATAAAGTCCACTTGTTTAAAGTATACAATTCTGTGGTTTGCGAATATATATATACATATATATTTGTGCAACCATTACCACAGTCTAATTCTACTACAATTCTGTGGTTTGCGAATATATATATATATATTTGTGCAACCATTACCACAGTCTAATTCTAGAACATTTGCATCACCCCAAAACGAAGCCTATTAGCAGTCACTCCCCTCTACCCTCCATTAATCCATTTCCTGTCTCTGTGGATTTGCCTGTTCTGGATATTTCACATAAATGGAATCACAGACTATGTGGCCTTGGGTGTCTGGCTTCTCTTACTGTTGAGCATCATGGTTCCAAAGTCCATCCATGTTGTAGTGAGTGTCTCTGTTTCACTCATTTTCAGGGTTGAGTAATGTTCCAGGGTGTGAAGAGACCATGTGTTTATCTGTTCATCTGCTGATGGACACTTGGGTTGTTTCCATCTTTTGGCCGTTGTGAACACGCTTACACAGGTTTGTGTGTGGACTTCAGTTTTCCTGGCTATGTACCTGCAAGCGGAATTGCTGGTTCATTTGGTAACTGTGTTTAATGTCTGTGGAACTGCCCAATGGCTGCCCCAAGTTGGTGCATTTTGGATGCTTACTGTGCCAGGCAGGAAAACTGCCTCTTGCGATCCTTGCATTTGGTGAGAGAGGTACTATTGGTGCTGTGGCACAGGTGAGGCTACAGAGGCTCTGAGAGAGAAGCCAGGTGCCCCTGGACACACAGACTAGCCCTGCCAGGGCTGGGCTTACCTTCAGCCCTCAATCCAGAGATAGGGACTGAGTGGGGTAAGATTCTGGGTGTGTGGGCACGACTAGGACGGCAGCTAGAGAGGATGAGGGAGGGAGATGAGGCTCTCTCCTCCCTTGCTGGCCACCCACTTCTGGTGGGCCCATCTGGGCACCCATGTCTCCTCCTCCAGACAAACTTAGCTCAGGGGACAGTGTCTGGTCCCAAGTGCTGAAGCATCAGCCTCTCACTGCCCAGCTGCAAAGCCCTCAACAGAGCCTTCTTCCCTTCAAGGCCTACAGTTGGGCATCTGAGCCCAGTAGCAGAACAAATTCCCAGGTTCCCAGTGCCACAAAAGGGGGTGGTTTCTGGGGCCAATGGGTTCCTACAACAGGCGAGACCTGCCCCTTGGAGCCTGAGTGAAGCCCCATAGTCGAGGGCATAGGCACCCTTTTCACTTCTTCATGGAAGCCCCTCCCGGCTCTGAAAATCGGGACAAACGTGTCCCCACCCCATTGGTGTGTGTGAGGATAGAGGAGGGGCATTTAATAGCTCACTCTGTACCCCTTTTCTCACCCCACACCTCAAGATCCTCTTTCTGTTCCAGAGAGGTGGGAGACCCACTTTACAAATGGGGAAGTCGAGGCTGTAGGGGGATAAGAGCAATGTACCTCCAGCCCATAATTCCCTCAGCTTCCCGATGACCTTCAGGAAATGGAGTGTAATTATTGGAAGCTCGTAGACCCTCTTCTGGTAGTTGTGTCAACCAGATGGAAGGGGGAATGTGGGCTGGTTCCTAGAAGCTTGACACTCAAAGCATGTGGGTATCACTAGAAACCCCCACCCATTTCCACCCCCACAGCTGGGGTCTCTGGGCCCCAGACTGACTCTCTTTTCTCTGTGGTTGCTGGTTCCCCCAGGGGCTGATGGCCAGGGAAGGTGATCTTCAAACAGGGCACAGGGGACACCCAACCATGGCTGCGGGTTGGGGGGCCTGGGTGTGCCCCAAAGGATACCAGAGACTTGGCACCTCCTATTAAGCCTTTATTGCAAACTCTGAGGTCAGACACGGTCCCTGAGACTCTGGATAGTGTCACTGGCTCTCCCTCCCCCTCCCCCCAGATTCTGGGGCAGAGAAGGGATGTTGGTCACCATTGTGGCCTGGCCTCTGCCCAATCCCACCCCACCTTCATCTCAAACACACACACACACACTGATCTGGAACAAGGGAGCAGGGCAGTAGTCCCCACCAGAGACCTAAGCCAAGGTGGGATGTCTCCGGGGTCTAGCCAGCAGTTGGTGATGGGAGTGGCTTCCAGCACTGGGTGGGGGGCTATACAGGGGAGCAGGCAGCCCACGGAGAGGATGCTACAGAGGAGGGGGTTCCCAAAGGCCACGATCAGGCGGGCTGTGGCCTCTGTGGCAGTGGTGGGTTGTTCCAGTGGGCTGGGGGTGGCCTTTGTGGGCGACAGGCCCTGAGCAGGAGCCCCCATGCTCATCCAGTATGTATGGTGGGCAGCAGGCGATGCGGTTGAGCAAGGAGCTGCCACAGCAGGTGTAGCAGAAGTGGCAGCTGAAGCACACATGCAGGGTGGGTATGACTGTGACTGGGCACCCAGACCCAGCAGTCATTGCCTTCTGGGTGTAACTGAAGTGCTGCGATGGGCAGTGGGAGAGGCAGAGGTGGCCCAGGATGTAGGCAGGACTGTGGCATTCTGCATGGGGCATATGGACATGGAGGTGAGGCTGAGGCATGCAGCCCTGGTCCACCTACCCTTCCTGGGCCGCACACACACACTGCCAGCAGGGCCATGCCTCACTGGGCACTCACCCTGGCACAGCCCCTCTGTGTCCCGCTGCACACACGCGCTGCTGGTCACCTGGGGGCCTGGAGGCCGCACTGTCATATCCTCAGCTGTCCCATAGAGCAGCAGTGTGTAGCGGTACAGCGTCCCTGGGCAGGGGTCATGGTGAGCACAGGGATAAGGGGAAGAAACTATTGGTGGCCTAATCTTGCCATTTTGGACCCCACTCCCCAGTCATCCCCACCCCACCCTGAAGCTGCAGACTCAGATAGTGCCCGGCCCCCAGCAGCCATTGTGGGATGATAACTGATTGCCTATTTCTACTATGCAAGATCACTGGGAGCCCCACTGCAGTGGGGTAATTCAGGCAGGCCTCAGAGTTTCCAGCCTGTGCCTGCCTCTCACCGGTGTTGAAATAGTAGCCCTTGTTCTCCAGGCCCAGGGTCCACAAGCCCTGCGGGTCCTCATCCCAGAAGTGGGTGGACATAAAGATCCACTTGTTATAGCCTTGGCCACTGACGTCGTAGGGTCTGGGACAGACAGGTGGGGGTGGGGTAAAAGGGTGGATGACTATAGTCATGAAGGGGCCACTGAGCCACAGCAAGTGTCTGACTGCAATGCCAAGTGCTGCCTGCAGAAGTGGTCCTCACAGGACTGGTCACCCCTGCGCAGGCCACGCCTGACTCCAAAGTGCACTTGTCCCTCCCTGTGTGGACCCATAGGGCAGGTCCCCCGACCCTGACCTGATGGCCACAAGTGTGGAGCGGGTGCCCATGGGGCTGGTGAGCGAGATCTCCAGGTCCCCCCGGCGGCTGTAGGACAGTGACAGCTGCACCTGCACATGCTCCAGTGAGCGGATGTAGTTGGCACGGCCAGCACAGGCCGACACTTTCTTTCTCATGTGCATCAGCGCCAGGATGGGGCTATGGGTGGCATGGGGCATCAGGGCCCCTCCTGCTGGCCTGCTGGGGGGGATGGGCGGCCAGCAGGCAGGGTCTGGGCTCAGATCATGGGGCCCACCTCCAGGATTTACTGAGGCCTCAGGGCCTGCCTCCCAAGTGTCTGCCTGGGTGTTAATGACAGGTGTGGGAGAGGGCTGGGGATGTGACAGGTGTTGTCGGAGGAATGGGGAGGTGGCAGGTAATGCACAGTGGCTGGGACCGAGGAGAGTGCTCACGTGGGTTTGTGGAGGACTCGAATGGCACATTTCTTCTGGGGCTGTGTGGGCAGCCATGTGCGAGCCAAGTCTACCAGCAGCCCAGCATCCAGCAACCCATAGCCATAGTGGTGGCTCACTGTGTGTGGGGGGGGCCGTCACTCACTCTGTGGGCATGGTGTCCCCACCCGCACCGGGCCAGGCAGTACCTTGACGCCCCACGCCATTGGTCCTCCAGTCCTCAGCCTGAAGGTGTGCCTGCCTGGATGCACGAACCACCAAATGCTGCATGTCCCTCCATGTCAAGAACGGGCTGGGGGAGGTGAGGGAGTAAGCTGGGGCCACAACTGGGGGGCCAGGGTGGTAGTAGGGTCCCCACTGTCACCTACTTGGCCTCCAGAGCCAGAGCGATTATGCCTGCAGCCAGTGGGGCAGAGGCCGAGGTGCCTGTATGCTTGTCGGTGCACTGGTGGTACAGGTCCGTGGTGACCTGGGGGCAGAGATGGGGACTCGGGGGCCCGGTGCACCTGAAAACCCAGCCCTTGTTCACATGGAACCAGGGACTCAAGAAGGCACTGCAGAGCATTACGCCAGACAAGGGGCCTGAGCACTGCCCAGGTCCACACCCCAGAAGCACAGGCCAGGGTGTGTGAAGGGGCAACAGTGGGATGGGGCCTGGGACCCATGTCTATGTTCCAGCACTGCAGGAGCAATCCCTGAGAGGAAG